ATTTCGCTGATGCTGGTGCCATTTACACAGGTAGTACATGAATGGCTGTATCCGAGGGACCCTGCGGTGCTGGCTGGGTGAGGATGAGCCCATCATCTCTGCTGGGTGAGGATGAGCCCATCATCTCTGCTGGGTGAGGATGAGCCCATCATCTCTGCTGGGTGAGGATGAGCCCATCATCTCTGCTGGGTGAGGATGAGCCCATCATCTCTGCTCCAGCACACGATCTCTGAACAAAACCCTGCTTCTCCACCAGCCCGGAGCAAAACAAAAGGCGAAAAGATGGAATATACAAAGGTGAGAGGAAAAAACCAAATAAACCAAGCCTGCTCTCATCACCGTGGGCAAAATTCTGCTGTTGCAAACCTTCCGAAGCCCTTTTCCGCAGCTGCGTCTCACCCAAAAGACAGCTCTGGAAAGGGGAGGGGAAAAAACCAAACCCAACACCTCAAACCGAAACCAAGAAGCAGACATAAGCACCTGGGATGCAGTTCATCGGCAGATCTCGTTCCCCACTGCAGGCCGGGAGTGGCAGAGGCGGAGGTGAGAAGGTCCGAGCCGGCATTGGCGAGAGGCTGTTCCCATCCCGCTGCGCCGTGCCGAGGGGAGGCTCCCGGGGCACCCCAGGTGTCTGGGCGGTGCTGGCACGGCCGCCGCACCCTCTGCGAGCCCGGCTCTCCTTCCCGTAGCCCTCCTGACTCACACACGGCTCTGCCCTGGGCTGGGGATCGCTCCTCCGACTGCCCTTGGCTGCAGGAGCAGCCTCCAGCAAAGCGGGAGCCTTGCCCAGGACAGGCAGCCAGGCAGAGCCCAGGCAGGTGTCAGCTCACCCACTCCCACCCACTGTTCCCGGCAGGAGCGGCTTGCCACAGCTCTGGAGCAGAAAACAGGAATGAACTCGCACCACCAGCAGGGAGGGATCTCTGCCGCCCTGAATTTGCTGCCTGTCGATAAAACGCCCCAGCAGGCACACAGTGTGCTCCTGCTACCCACGAAGCAGAAAGTCCCAGAGACACCTGAAAGATGTGAGATGGTGCCAAAGCGTTTCTCTTCTCAGGGGTAAAGCAGGTCAGTGGGGCACAGCGAGGTGACAGCAGCTGGGTGACATCTCATCCCCCATGCTGGCATCCCTCCCAGTGCCCTGGAACACAGCTGCCATGCTACACTGGCAGCATGCCACCAAAATGGACAATTTCCTCTCCCCTTGCCCTGGTCAAGGGAGGAGGAAAACCTGAGTGGAGAAAAAAGGAAGAGAGAAGGTGCCTCTCTGGTAGAGGCTCCAAGCACTGGAGGCAGGGACTGAAGACTTGCTCCTTCAGCTGCCTGACCAAGCTGGTAGGGCAGCCTGCACTGATGATCCTGCTCCCCTGGGATAGGACTGAGCTTCCCAAGAGTTGGGAAAACCAGGTACACAAAGCAGTCTCCTCAAACAGGATGTCTCCCTCTCCAGGCAGCATGGAAGTTGCAGAGCAGACACGCACTGAGGGTTTTCCCCTTCTGGCACATCCTATGCAAAAACCTCCTGATTCTTCAGTGGAGGTCAAAAGTGGTTTGAAGTCCAGCAGGGATCAAGCTGGAATCTGTGTGGGAGGTGCAAGAGGCTCCCATCACCAATGGCCAGCCCTCCATGTCATGGCAAGCCCAAGCCTGTCTCCAAGGCAGGGATCTGCAGCCCAGCAGCCAGCATGGCACAATGATTTCATGCCATGCAGTGTGTTTTCCCCAGGGCTGCACTTTGGAAGACACAGTGGAGCAAGGAGAGCTGACATGCCTCCAGCTTTGTCTCCAAATGGCTCTCCCACTTAGTGCCAAGAGAAACGAAAAACAATGCAAGCCCTGGAGTCTTGGGTCAACCACTGCAAAACTGTTAATCCCAGAGTTGCATCTCCCTTCTCTGCCGTTTCATTTGCCACTGTGGTCTCCAGAAGCTCAGCAGACAAGTCTTCTCCTTCCAACTGAAATGCCTTCATTAATTACCTCAAGATCCCTGGAAAAGGGAGCCCAAATCCATATTCCCCTTTCTCTGCTGACACAGATATAGAAGTACCTGACAGGGAGGGAGAAAATCTCACTCATCTACACTCCAAAGATTATTCTTCAGATATGCAGCAGGAGAGGTGATGGAGAAATCAGTGTATTCCAAATGGGCTCAACCAGCAGCCACACTGGTACATGCAAACAGCACTTTCCATCCATGTCTTCTTAGAGCAACAAACTGTCTTTGCTCTAGAGGGTTGTTTGCAGCAAATTTTATTCTGACTTTTCCACAGTTTCCTTCCAAAGGAAAAAAAAATCCTATCACCAGCTACAAAAATGCTCTCTGGCCAATCCACAGAGTTTCTAATGCAGTTTTCTTCTATACAGCCTCTCCCAGTGCAGGATTTTCCAACATTAAAAAGGGAAATCAGAGAGTAGAATGGAAAAACTCACAGGAAAAGATAAAATGAGGAAAGGAGATTAAAATATCACTTTTAAAAACAAAAAATCACAAAAATTTGAAGGCAAGAAAGTCATTCTTAAAAAGTAAAACAAAACTACAAAATTGTCCACAGGACATTTTCTACAGGACTACCTGGCACTGTTTATGATTTCCTTACACCTCTTCATGGCACTGAAAGTCTTTATTTGTGTAAAGGAGAAGTGAGGGTAAATATATTTGAAGAAAGAAATTGATGAAAATAAGACGAAGGCTGGAGGAAAGAAGAACTGCACTTTCCTGCTGCTAAACCCAGTATGGTCTCTCCTTGGGGGGCAAGGCTCTGAACCCCATTTCATTTTCCTTGGTTTTACAGATAAAAGGTTTCCAGCACAGTCAAGCACTAATTATTATTTCAGGAGAGCACCAACAAATAGGAGTTCCAGGATGGAATATGCCAACTTCCTAAGCCAGAGCTGATGGGGGATTTGTCCTACCCTGCAAGTGGCACAGCAAACCCTGGGCACTCAGAGCACAGCACGCAGAGCCACTCCAGCTTGGCTGAATCAGGCCCACAATAAGCAATCAGGACCATAACATCTTCATAAAGTAGGATTTAAGTACAAACATCTGCCTTGCCATTTTTTAATTAAGGGAGTTTATAGCTAGATATTCGTTTCCGCAATCCACTGCTCCAGCTGCAGAAATGCCATGCGTATTCTAATTTTGGCAGCTAGTTTATTTAATGGACTTTGACATTGTTTGACATTTAGCTGAGTCACCTTGTTCCTGGGTAAAGCAACAAGGGCTGTTCAGCAGTTCAACAAGAAAGAGGCAGAGATTCAATATCAAAAGTAGAACATATATCACAGAAATTTTAAATTAAATACAGCTGAGGTCTATTCTGTTCTGGCAGCTTCTCTCTTTGGGACACTAAGTCAACCCAAATGTTTTCCAGATATAACTCTTCCCCTCAAGGACATGTGGCACTACCATCTCCCTCATGTTCCTGGAGGGTGGGAAGGGTAGGAAGTGTTGTAATGGGCATATGGGGTTTATCTCACCCTCTGCAATAACACACACACATATATCAGGACATCCAATCACTACGATCTGCACAAAGGCTGAGGAGCAGCTGCAATCAGCCAACATTTTTGTAGGAGAAAATAAAACAGATAGGCCAGTGACAGTCAATACAGGAGGAACAAATGCTACCTGCAGACAGGATTTTCCTACAGCACCTCATGTGAAGCCACCTGCACTCCTGTACAGTGCTTTCAAGGACCTCAAAATGCCTTCCAGTAAGAAAAGCAGGCCAGCAGTATCCATTCTTACCACAAAGAGGTTTCATAAAGTGATTTGGCTATGAGTTTTGTTGGTGGTACAGCTACAAAGAGAGCCACTTTTAGACTTTTTGCCTCATCCCAGATGGGAAATGTATGGCAACACCACCTTCCTCTGGCTACAGTCTGGATGCAGCACAGAACGCTGCAGAGAGCAAACCCCGAGCCTGGGACTGCCTTCCACAAGAGCTGCCTGCCAAGACTCTGCCAGGCAGCTGTGCTGCCCTGCTGTGGCTCTGATGCTGGTGTCATGTATTTGTACTGCTGGTTTTTAAGTCCCTACTCCCCAATAACCTTGGAGCTGTGCTCACCACACATCTGGAGCAGCTGCTTTGCCTGCAAATAGCGTTGGGAATGGCAGCATGCTCCTTGAGAGGACTAAGCCCTCCCATCCCAGCTTCTCTTCACAGACCTTAAGGGAAGAGCTGGGATCTCCTTTTTATAGCAAGAGACAGAAGAGACCTTTTAACAGGCTGCAAATACTTCACTTATGCTGGCAGGAGTGCAGTGAGCCACACTTAGAGCCAACAGCCAGAATCATGCAGCCAGACAACAGGGAGCTGGCCAGAGCCTGCACTGCCAAGAGCACGCTGTGGTCTGGCTCATCTCCCCCGTGCCATCCCTGCAGCTGCTGCTGGGAGCAGCTATGTAGGTGTGTGCTGTTACCCTCAGGACAGCATATCCATCACGTTCCAACACTCTACAAAAGGTGTCAGAGGGACAGTGGCTCAGGCTAAAAAGATAAGTAAATATCTTTGTAGTGAGCACTGCAGAAATCCCTATTTGCATTTAACCTTCTTCAGTTTCCTTTCTGTTGCAGGGGCAACTCCAGTTATTCATTCCTTATTGTACAGTAATAGTGTCTGCAGAGTCACAGCATCCAGAAACGACAAAGACTGACTCTGGTCCCCAGTGGTCTCCCAAATGGTGGCTGGAGCTCAGGCTGCTTGGTTGCGCCCCAAAGACACAGCCCCCCACAAGCCATCAAATCCCTTTGTGTAACAGGGCGTGAGCCAACCTAAATCTGAACAGCTGATGAAAGATCTCCTGAGAGCCCTAAACACCATGCCAGCTATTTTAGGAGGAGGGGCAGGTCTGGTATCACAAGGCTGGGTGTATGAGCTCCCAGGGAAAAGGCATTTATAAGAATGGTCACAAAAAGTACCAGAGCCAGTAGCCAGGGAACTGCAATCTTCAGCTGCTCTCAGCCATCTTTTTTAGGGCTTTCCCCACAGCATTACCTGGTAGGAAAGGAATGATTCTTTGCTTGGGATCCTTCTGGCCTCCTTCAATAGGGAACTTGTCCAGAAGCTGCATCTGCAAAGAAAGAACAATGAACATCTTAGTGGGAAACATGGACCATTTGCATAGGGACCAAGGGACCTCTTGGTTTGTGTGTGGTTTAAGAAAAAAGCAACTGCAGGAATTACTTTGTCTTGTTGGAGGGGAGCCTGTACTTAAAAAGGTATGATATACTTCATGCCAAGAAAGGGAGGGCAAGTTTCTGGCAGCACAAAGGAGCTGGGATAAGGCCCAGGCAGACAGCTGAGCCTGGCCTTGCTGTCATTCTAAAATTAGACTCCCGGTTCTTGCTACACACACGCCTTGTCTCTAATACACAGCCTGCCTGTGCTGGTGTAGCAACAGGTTTTACCTGTCCATCTGAAAGACCACTCTCCTGGATAAAAATGCTGTTCAAGCAACCAGATTAAAGCATATCTAGTAAAATACCTGCTCTGCTTTTATGGCAGAGCCAGAAAGACCCACTGCCCTGGTCCAATAAGAAAGAGCTCCTGTTCTCCCAGGGAGACAGAGATGGGGTTTTGGGGAATATCTTCCACTGGAGTCCTTACATGGAGAACAGCAGGCAAGGAGGCCTCAGAGAGGAAAGCATCCCACAGAACAGCAGCCCCACGAATGGCCTGAAAGCACAGCTCAAGGTGGGTGTGCTCCCAGCCCAGAAGCCTTTAGCACATGGTTTCCTAGCCTAGGAAAGCTGCAGGCTGGTCTGACATTCCTAAAGGAGCCCTACGATGTATCCTTGGATGATGAGACCTGCTGGGCCAGTGCCACAGAGGCTGAAGAGCAGCTGAAAGACCTCAGACAGAAAGATGTACCTGCCCTAGTGACACCTTAATGGACTTGCCCAAAGAAGATCAACTCCAGCCCTGAAAATTGCCAGAGCCTCTCATCTCTCCCATTCACCCTCTGCAACCTTTCACTGTCATTCAGCACATGGTGCTACCAAGACAGAGACCCAAATCTTCACATTCTGTTTCATTTCTCCCCGTGTTTCCTATGCATGATGTTTCTATGCTGCCCAATGTCCCCTCCCTTCTCAGAAGCCCTGACTCCCCGGGACAGGCAGAACTCCAAAGCTCCTGCCAGCCCCAGGGCTCCTTTCCAACAGACCGGGAGAGACATCTTTCAACTCACAGTCACAGCTCCTGTGATCTCTGAGGAAGGCAAGGAAGGAAAAGCAAGCAGTGGTGTTACTTGCCCTTGCAGAACCCCTATCTCCTCACCTCAACAGGATCTACAGCTCAACACAAATACGCAAAGTGGCAGCAAGAGCTGGGGGAAGGGAGGGGATACTCGTCAATCAGCATTTAATCTCATCAGTGCTATGTGTCCAATGGGGAGGCTGTGCAAGTTAAAAGGGTTTTGCTAGCTCAACAGATTTCCTTTTAAAAATATTTTTTTGCTAACTTGGGGAAAAACAGTCAGAATTTTTTTTATTTTTTACTGGTTTTGTTTTAAGCACGCAGAATCCTTCTCGTCTTCCACCGCACACAACATCTCCAGCATTTTCACCATATGGCACAGCAAACCAAAGATCAAGAGGAAACTCACCAGTAGAAGCAACATCTGTGCAGAAGAAGGACTTAAAAGATCCCACATGTTTCCCCATCAGGGAGTCAGCCTGGTAAATAAATAGATCATGGCTTTGCGGATTGTTAGCTAACTCGCTTTTCTGCCTACAGAGACAGATTTTTTATTGAAAATGGGAAATTTTGTTTTCTTGTAGGTAGAGCTCTGGGTGTCTGAGGTCAGGCATGGGCAGGAGCTTCTTTCAAAGAAGAGGGGGAGAAACAAAGAGGGGGAGGGAATCCCCACCTACTGACTTCAAGTTTCACTGTCGCTACACTTTTAGCCAGGAAGGCAATTCTCACTTGACTGCGTGGTGACTGATTGAAGCTGGAACTGATACAGTCAAATTCCCAGGGTTATTCTTGGAGTTAGATTAGCTTGGCTAATACAAGCCTTTGTAACCACATCAAGAGAGCCACAACATGTATAACTCAGTGCTATTTATCTAAAGGGTGTATATCAGCAAAATAGATACAATAAACTGAAGCTGGAAGAGTTTGGCTAAATTTTCCTAGACTACACTTTCCACCCTGGCTCTTGCCTCCACTGGGAAGGTCTGGGGGAGGCAGGGGCACTCCAGAACTTTATTTGACTTTAACATCCTGCAGGATGTTAAAGTCAAATAAAGTCCAGCAGAAGCAGGGAGCCTTCCTCAGCACTTTCCTGCACCAAGTTCTGCCATTCAAAGCCAGTGCAAGTTAGAGCTAAAGTCCTAGAAAAGCAGGATTCCCTCCCACCCACAGAGAGGGATGCAAAGTGGAAGATAAGGAGGAGATGTATACAGGAGAAAAAAAGCATCAGTGGACTCGAATTAAACATCCCAAGTCTTCCAAAGATGATGGAGTGTCCCCCAAGCTAATGCCTAACACCTCCACTCAGCCCAGCCGTGGTAAGAGGAGACAAAGGAAGTAGCTGGGAATGAAAAAGTTAAGGGCTGAACTACCAAAACTCCTCCTGGTAGGCGCAGCCCTTCCCTCACATGATTAACAGACGAAGACCAATAAACAGATTTTCAGTTCACTTAATTAGATGTCTGCAGAGCATCTGAAAGTCGAAAACTCTTTGTCTCTGACAAATGTTTTTCCATTAAAGGAAGTTATTCTTGTTATAAATGCAAATACACATATGATTGATGGAAAAAACCCTGCACTTAATGCCCCAGGTTATTCTGCTCAGACATGAGCAGTCTCCACAAGTGGTTGTTCACATCTTTGATGTGTGACAGTTAACTTAGGGACAAAGTTTGCTAAATCAGAAAGCAATTCTGTCGCCTAGAGTAAAATCATCCCAGTATGAAGGCAAAGAAGGGAAGATGCAGAGTCCCAAAGAATTGAATTAGGGATGTAGTTGGTTTTGAACAGACAGGAAAACACAGCTGGGCAGTGCATTTTGGCAAAACTGGAGGAGCTCAGTTCATCTGCTTGCAACGAGGAGGAGCCTTCAATTGCATGACTGGTTAAGTGAGCAGGAAGAAACATGTTACCATGTCCCTGTATCACAGGGTGGAGGATCCCTTTGGAAACAGGGAGGGTATATGGAAACCAGGAAGTGAGCTTTCCATCCATTCAGGCAGCACGCCTGGAGTCAGGCTGAACAAACACATCCCACTCCCACTTGTGGCACAAGACCTGATGAATAACTCACCACCAGAACTGCCTCTCCAGTCTTTGCCTTTCCAGACTGCTCTGGGTTTGCTGACATCTTTCCTGCTGAAGTCTTGCACAGTCCTGCTTCCTGTTCCAAGCACCTTCCTTCTTGCTTCTGACTAAAACTCCTTTAGAAGACTTGCTATAAAACCTTGTGGTCCAGATTATGACTTTCTTGCAGCAGTCACCAAATGATCATTAATCAACAATTAATCTCATTAAAAATCAAGGGAATTAGTCATGTGAGTTGCTGCTTATTAAAAAGAGAGCACTGGCCTGCTCCACTCCTTTCTATTTGTACCTAAGCATGAAATCACTTGACTTGCAAGAATGAAATAGGAAGATTTCAAAGTATCAACTCAACCACTTCCCCAGGCATCTCCCTTCTCATGTCTTCTGCTTCAGGCCATCTTTAGCTAAAATGCAAACATATAATGAAAAAAGAGCCTCTCCTGCACACAATAACCATTTGGGTTTGCCACATAACAGCATCTTTGGTCATTTCATATCAGCTCAGCTGTGAAAATAAGATTCCGTCCCCATCTGCCTTGCAATGGTAATACCTGGTTTAAAATCTGAATACAGAAAAACAAGCACTCTTTGAGATGCTACAAATAGCATCTCTGCGGATGAGAAGCCAAGCAGCTTCCTGATAATTTACTTACTATATTTTACCTATCTTGATGAAATTTTCATGAAACAACACTTGTTTCTGCTGCAACATAAGGACTTACAGCACCCAAGACTACGAGGCAACTTCTCTTCTGAAGAAGAGGCTCTGCTACAAGCCAACCAGTGCAGGGGACATGAACATATTAACTGTTCAATGGCTTGACCCTGTGGCATTTGCCAGCAGGAACTTTGTTCCTGGTTTGGTTTTGAGGTTTTGGAAGTTTGTGTCTAAATCCAACTCAGTAAAATTAATCCACTGAGACAGTTACCTGACCTCCACCTATGCCTGATACCACAGACTGTAGATGGGTTCCTGCTGGGCTGTTGGTTCCTCCCCTTCCTTCCTTGCAGCAGTTTTAATTCCTCTGGTTAGAAGAATTAAGTTCTCCTCTTAAAATAAGCAAATGAGGACACCACATAACCTCTTAGTGTGGAAATCTTTCTGGTTCCTTTTCAAGTGGATGCAGGTTTGCCATGTGCACAGATAAAAATCTAAGCTCTGCAGGAGGTCAGCATTGCAGTCATGGGGAGACGACAAAGATCCTGAGGGTGACTTTCATGCAAGCCCCTTACTTTGGCAAGCAAAATGACATTCACCGTTGCAAAATGGTAAAGGACTCTGACCTTCTACAGAGAGAGATGAGGCCTCTCTCCATTTCCAGGGTATAATTTACTTGTGTCTCACAGAAAGAGCAGTTGAAATTCAAACCATGACCAAGAGGAGCAGAGTTTTTGCAAGGTGCCCCTAGAAATCCCACCTTGCCACCTTTACTCTTGGCCACATTACTCAGCTGGTCCCAAGACTACAGTTCCTCGTACAATGAATAAGAGGGACATCAGCTTCCCTTTTTCCAAGTGCTCATCAGAAAATGCATTTTTCATTAAATATGAGGCAAGCTGACAATAACTTTAATTTAGACAATGATGGATTTGAAAGGTAAATTATTAGAGGACAGCCAGGCATCAGGCACATCCCTTCTCACAAGGTTGATCTGATCTCAGAGTCCCAAGGAGGAAAGAAGGGCTGCAGCCAACTGGGAGACAAGGAAGAGGAGAGGAGGCATCTGTGCATGTATGGGATTGTGTGCACACTTCTGAGAGAGTCTGCCAGAGAAACTAGAAGAAAAG